AATTTTTTTAATACAATATAGATTAAAATTTGTGCCAAATACTAATATTGATATAATTTATGTTAATTTACATTAATTTTAACATCGAGAAATAAGAAAAAAATTATAATTTTAAAAATAATAATTTTTTTAACATTGAGAAATAAGAAAAAAGGGAAGTAAGAAAAAATGAATTAATTAGAGCGAAACACGGGTGAGTGATATTTAAGTGTTGAATAAATTCTCGTAAGAGGGATCCACTTACTTCTAAATAATCTTCCATGACATTAAATTTATTCCGAGTATGCGGTTTTGGGAAGTTCGTACATTATCATACTTCAGCATCAGATATGACAATTATGCGATGTAATTGTAAAACGAAATGAAACGATGAGACACGTGTGCATAAAACGAATTTAATTCTCGTCTTTTATTTCAATTTAAAACAATCTGGAACTCTGGTTATTTGACCCGATTTTTCTTAAATCGATCTTTCGAAGCAACGATATTTCGCCTATAAGAGAACAACCGGCACATCGGTTGCACGGAGATTAATGAGGATACGTTATTGCAGAAACGTGACTCGCCAAACTTTTTTCACGTAATTCCTCCTTCCCCTAACGTCTTAATGTAACACGTGGACCTATCGAAATTATTCTCAGGCCACTCACGTTGGAGTGGCAAACTGTTACCTCTCGAAAAAGGCTTTTTTTAAGGATGGATCTCTTGTTGTCCTTGTTCGCGAACAGTTCGCAACGATTCGTGAACTGTGCCGTGGACAATATTCCGCGAACAACGTGCAACGAATAGTATTTGCGAACAGTGTTCGTGAACGAAAATCGGACGTTTTGACGAAAATTTTTGGAAGAAGGCCAATTTCATTTTCATGAGACACGCATAATAGGTGTGGTAGCATGGATATTAGGGTGATAGGGTGAGAGAAATAGAAATGATGGGGTGTTTTATATCGAGTGCACGCGCACAGTGAAAGGAGAAACGGATGGGTGGGTGGATCAAAGGACAGTAAATTGTATTTTTAGGCTAATAATATTCGATTATGTTTTATAGAAAAAAATATAGTATTCTCATTAGTTTGATATTTTTTGTAAAATTTGGTATTTTGTTTTTTTCGTTTGTTAATGCAATTATTAATTATAAATTACATTGTTTTATGCGTGAAAGTGATGGATTATTTTGTACGTACGATAAAGGATGTTAATAATAAATTGTAATTTTTAGTTGAAAAAAAAACAGTATTATAAAAAATTTGGTAATGAATTTTTTCTTCTTTATTATAATAATTACGAATCCCATTGTATTATATTTGTAAATAGAAAGAGAAAAGAGATATATGGAAGAATAGAAGCAAATTGCAATTTCTCTGGTAATAGAATTAAATAAAAATTTTACAAATAAAAATATATCGTTCTCGAATACGATAATTTGGAGAAGATAGTGTGTTTCATTTCATTTTTTTCTTCCGCTCCAATTTCATGGTAATTATGAATTCCATTATCTCGTGTGTAAAGTGGAATTCATAGAGAGGAATCCATAGAGAGGAATGCATCCTGTGTATTCTTAACAAAGAATTTTTTCAACTGGGATATATGTGTAAATAGGGGGGAAAAAAGCATGCTTGTGTCATTTTTAAATCAATATCTAGGTCAATGGCGCTGCATTGGTCATGCATCTGTCCATTGTTCTGCAATGATAGAGCACGTGGTGAGTTATGATAAATTACAAGCAAAGTATGAAGTTTGATGTTGATTGATACAGTTTGATGTACATATGTAAAATAAGTTAAAACGAAGATCAAAGGATTATGAAATATTTAATATTTTTGAAATTGATTTATTATTTTTCATTACGAAAATTTTCGATCCTTCCAATTTTCATTATCAAATTATCAACATTTTAATATCTAATTTATAAGAATTTAAATAAAGGAGGTTTCCTTTTTTTACATTTAACGATCAATTTTATCAAATTTGATTAAAATTAACATTTATCACAGTCATCGTTTCCTTTCCTGAAATTTTATTCGTGAAAGCTAATTATACAAATTATCCCAAAAATGTGGAAGCATCGATCAATTGAAATTCTAATTTCAACATTTTCCTTTGTAAAAACTTTCGTTATGAAACTTTGTTAACAAAAAATATTGGCCAATCTGTTACATTCAATAGACATTTTTTTGACACATGTTGCTTGGACTTGTTCGTGTACAGCCGATGTTATGTACTCACCGTCTTGATTAGTCTATGCTCCATGATTAACCAACATTTTTCATTAACGAAAATTTTTGCAAAAGAGATTGAAATTATTCCAGACAATTTTCAATTAATTAAATATTTTCATATTTCTGAGACACTCTGTATATAAACTACAAATCTGACAAGTTTAATTTCCGTCGTCACGTGTCACACACACCCACACATATATACACATATACATATGAAAGAATAAAAGTACCTTTCAAGATGTGATTGATCTTATTTTTAAAAATAAGTCGAATTCACGTCACACGAATACGGAATAATCTATCACGATCTGTCAAGATTTAGCTGGAAACATGCAATTCTTATCGTTCCACGATCGCGTTGTATATTCGTGGACCTTCCATTGTTTTCGATAGAATACGCATAATAATGGACACGTAACTCTCCTTCGTTTTTGATCTAAAGAGAAATTTCAATTTTCCCGCGTATATTCGCGTGACGTATAATACGTAAAAGCCAATTTAATACTGGTGCAGACGTCTGGTTATTACAGCTTTGAGCGAAGAATGGAAGCACGCAGAGATAGATCGTTACTTAAAATAAGAGAAACCTACCCCTCGTCTCTCACCGAATATTAATATCAATCGATCAAACGATCATCTTTGTCTTTCGCCACCTTGTCACTTTTCCGTCCACGGATTCCATACGAAGAGTTTACATTTTTCTTGACGTAAGATCATGGTTTACGTGACACGTGAATGGTAATTGGAACACCTTCGAGATACCACGGTCATTAATCTTCTTTTCCAACGTGGTAACATTAACTATCAAGATATCAAGGGTTAGATAGACCGGCATATTGTTGACATCACGGCTTTATGCTGGAAAGTTTCTTTTCCACAGTAAAAATAAGACTCCCTTTAATCTTGAAATGTTTAATTCGACGTTTAAAGTCAAGGCTTTTGAACCTTGGCCCTTCAAGGATCGAGGTTTCTAACCTTGGGCTTTTAAAATGGATACGTTTTAATCTCGTCTCGCTTTCGAGAGACGATAGAATTTTTAAGATTTTTAAAATTTGAATACCTTGAGATCTCGAAAAAGCTTCTTGAATCTGAATTTTGATTTTCAACTTTCGATGTTGCCGGATTTAAATCTTAAGATCAACGTTTGAGCTTCTTAAGCTTGAACTCTTCCATCATAAACTTCTTCCGTGTCAAAGTTTTTTGACATGGAGAATTCCTAAGTGTTCTCAAACTTAAGTTTTTGAGGTCAAAGGTTATCGTAACCTTCGAACAAATTATTCCAACATTCTCAACACTCGCCACGTCCAATTTAAAATTTTTTCCCAAAACAATAACTTTCCTTTTCCCTTTTCAAATTAATCAACAATCTAAATTACGATACGATAATTAACTACTTGAATTTCATAATTGCCAAGTGTAATTTGATCATTATTAATTTATTTCAATATATGCGTGTACGCAAAATCACGCATAACTGGCGTGATGGTAACGTGAACCACGCAAGTACGATTGTTACTGTAGTCCTGAATTTCGAGAAGACTTTAATTAGACGTGTGTCTCTGTTCTCCTTTTTTCTCTATTCAACCAGCTATAGAAAAAGTCGTGAGATGGGCTACGCGCACGCGATTTAACGTGTCTAGGATGAAGTATTCAACAAAGTGCAATGAAAACCTCAGCCGGTTTGGTTACTATTCTAATCGCGTCTATATTCAATGATGTAGTTGAGCACGAGAAATTTATTCGACGCCATTTCTTCAAATTGAAATTCGTTGCCTAATAGTTTAATCTGATCGAATACTGATTTATTTTCCAATATAAAATTAATCGCGCTCGTAAATTTTGGTTTTAAATTTTTTGAATAAAGAGAATGAAGATGAGAAATCTTATTATTTTCTTTCAGAGATTGTTTTTTTTTTTTCAGAATATTATTTTTATTTCTTTTTTTCCCTCCCCAAGGTAATTGTTTTTTAACATTGTCGTTCCATGTTGTTTCACGGATAATGGCTAGTAGGTAGTTTAGATGTTTGATTTTGATAGCGATCGTACACGAATGGGAAGATCTATTGGTCGATTTGCGGTGTCTATGTCAACAGGCATAGCACGACGAGCAATTAAATCAAGTATATTGAAAGTTTTCTAACTATGGAAATTGGACGAACGTGCAAGTTAAAATTGTGAAATAAAAATTTCCACAAAATATTTCGAAACGAAGCTTTCTCTCTCTCTCTCTCTCTCTCTTTTTTTTAGAGCAAAAAGAATATATACAAAACGTATACAAACATAGTATTTTGCTCAGCGTAGAATTCTTCGTAAAATTTTCCAACGAAGTCTGTCTCTTAAAATTCTCTTAAAATCTTAAAATTTCGTTTCGTTAAAAAATACCGACGTAGTTATTTTCGTGATAATTGGACAAATTAATAAATCAGTCTCCAGCAGAGACACACTTCTTCCAAGTTATAATTCTTATTTTCTTGATGTATCTCTATACATATTATTTTATGCTTTATTATTTTTCCATCATCCTAATCCCTCGCGTGTATATCCCTCTTTAAAAACCGGTCATTTCTTCTCGTTTATTTCTTTTCCGCGATTTTATCAAGCTTATAAGTAATATAAATATTGTCTCTTATCTCTGCCTATTCTTCTCTCCCCACTTTTTTTGGGATCACTTTGGCATAGATTAAATTCATGTCGAACCTCGATTCGTTCTCACAACGAGTTCATTAATATTGAAATTCGAGTACGAAACGATTGATTTCGATCGATAATGCGATGCCATAACGCTCGAATCGTTTATTTACACGGATGCATGCGCCGGTAATTTACACTGCCCTTGCTTGTTAATTTCGTTGTCGTGACATTCTAATGAGATGTGGAACCGACTTGCTTTATGCACGCGCGCCTTATTCGTTTCGTGATCGTGTTATTAAAACGGGGGGATTGTCCAAGATGTCCTGCAAGCGATACGGTCATTGTTCATTACTTGCCTCTCTTATCTGTTGTTTTCTTTCGCGAGACGAATCAATTTAAGGTATAATTTTTTCCCCATTTTTCACGTGGGCGTGGAGAAATTTTATTCTCTTATTTGTCTCTTTTCCCTTCATTTTTCGATTACGATTATCGTTCAAAGATCGATTTATTATTAATATCATCGCATTGATAATATTATCCTGGTAAAATTAGATTTCGTTTGAAGCGATATTGATTTTATCAAGAGAGGAACCTATGTTCGCTTGAAAGAATTTATAACATATTTCTCCTTGTATCTCCTTGATATCTCCAGGTTTTTTCCTGGAGAAATTAAAAATAACACAAACATGAAATCGTTTGGAGTGAAATTTATTCTTTTCGAGATGTTGGAAACTGTTAATGAATAGATGATAGATCTCAAAGAAGATTCTTATTAGTAAAAGTATTTATACTTTTTACTTTCGTTGCAACATTATATGATACATTTATTGATAAATTCATTCGATAAATGTAATCGTAAAAAAGTTATCGAAGACAAATTTGTCGTTTTTCAACATTCAACAAGAACCAATTGCAATTGCTTCGATTTACCAATTAATTTAAATCCAATTCCAATTCTTAGAACCATTCTTAATCAATCTTTCTCAAGATCGAACAAGATCCACTTTCAATAAAATGATCCAACTTATTAATTTATTTATATCCAATTCCAAATTCCAATCTGGAAATCGCGTTCGTCCCGCATTGGAATTATTAATCAGAATTATTTTTCAACTTTCTAAGGGGGAAAAAAACACACACACGCACGCGTATTGGAAATCGTTATCCAGTTTTTAAATGTCGCAGAAAATTTATGCAAATCTCTTCATGGATCTTTAGAGATCCGGGAGATGGAAATAATTTCCGAAAATAACTCTATCCGTCAGGCGTTTGCTGTGGTTTTAATTACGGTCGATTAGCATAGCGGCGGTGACAGTAGGGCGGTAGTCGGTCGTGGACAGGAAACGTGACGCGAGGCCGGAAGAGGGGAGTCCGAAAATAAATTCGTTGAAAAGCTGGAAGCGTAGCACCGTAGCGGGTTGTTATTTTAAACACAAGGTGGCCGAAAGAGAAAGAAGCAAAGTGCTTTCCAGAGAGTTGTTTTGATTGCGTAGATGTCGAGTAAATGAGACACGTTGTAGTTTCGGGGGTTGTCGTGAAATATTGGGTGAATTGTGATCGCTCGAAATACGGATTCGTGGACTTTAAATTAATGCAGATTAATGCAACCAGTCCAAATGTTGTCGAAAATCTTCCTCTTAGATAAATGTTTCTTCATTTTTTGACGTGAAAAGAAAAATAAAAAACAAAAATTGAAGTCACAAGTAAAAAAGAAAAATTGTAAATTTTACGAAAAATTATTGTTTTTAGAAAAAAATTATTAAAATTAATTGTCGCTTTTTTTTCTAGAAAAGAAAGGGACGAAATAAAATAACTTTTATTACTTTATTATATGTATATTTGGCGCGAAATCGAAAAAAACAATTTGCAAATTGTAAATTCGGAAATTGGACAACAATATCGAACTTTTCATTTCGCGCGAAGAATGTATGCATGACGAAATTTTGACCGTGGATTCATTTATTTAAAAAAAACGAAAGGATATTACGATGCGTCTGATGGAATCTGTTGTACGCTGTATGGTGGAATACGAATTTTCTGGAGTGGATAGTTGCAGTGGTGATCGCATTGTCGGTTAAATGCATTGTTTCAAAACCGTAGTGCGGTCGTATCGATCAACTGTCCGTTTCAAATTTCACACGGACGAGATCGCATTTTTCACGCGTATCACCGATTTACCCCCGTTCCCATCGATGTGTCCCTGTTAATCCATCACACTTCCCCATTGTTAGTTACGTATAAATCCAATAATTATCTTCACGCATTTCGTGCATCGTTTCATCTACGTAGAAACAATGGATATTTCGTATATTTCATGGATATTTACGTGTCGATAATTTGGTAAAATGTTAAAATATCAAAAAAATATAAAAGAGTTGCACGCAAAATATTTATTTCTATTAACTGTTTAAAATGATTCTTTTTTGTATTCATACGAACAGCTTAAAATAAAACGAGAACTTTTTTTTTTTAAATTATTGATTTTATCATATCAGAAGGGTAATATATATTGAATTTTAATATAAACTCACCTTTATTCCGTAATTGCTCTCTTCGTATATGATGGACACGTAACTCCATTTCATTTTCATCACGATCTCCACCATTGCTTTTACTTGATAATGGTCACTCGGTATAGTGCGCGTGAAATATTCGAATCGTTGTTTGTTGGAAAGTTCTGGACTGGTCGAGAAGAATGAGACCTGAAAACGGATAAAAAGTTTCTTGGTCAATTGGAAAGAAGTATTAAGTAAATCTTAGAGTTTCTTCTCAATCAATATTCCATTAATATTATCCATCTCTCTCATCTATTTATATTTTTAAATTTACTTAAGCTTATATTGTTTTTAAATTTCATAAAAAATATATTTCAATAATTTTAATTTGTTTTTTATTAATTTTGAAAATTGAGAGATATAAAAGTCACTTATTTTTTTCTTTCTGGTTCTCGTGTTGTATCAGATATTTCTATGGAAAGTGTACTCAAGATTAGTTACACATGCGTATCGTGCTACGAGTTCGTTAACATAGCACAAATGGAAGTAATTTCTGTCATATTTACGAATGTTTGACTACGATTAAGTGTTAGTTAATTCATTTTTTTAATAATATATTAAGTATTTATATATATCAAGTTGTATTTTTTTTCACATGGATTTCTAAGGATATAACACGCACAATCAAATATTTCTATGTTTTTACATCTTTTAAGAATAAAAGAAGATTATAATGTTTTCTTTATGCTTTTAATAAAAATAAATGCAAATTGTAAATATCGAATTTTCTCTCATAATTGTTGACAATTTATACGACGTTAAATCATAGAATAAAATGTTAATGGTGTATTATTATGCAGCGTACAATGAATTTAATCAATGTGTAAAATTGTATTTGGAATTATGTTGAATTTATTGAAGAGTCGTATTTACTTGTTGGAAATAATTATGATAATTTACGAAGAATTTTAGCGTGGATGTAAACAAAATTTTAAAGATGATTCATGAGATGGAAGAAGAGAGAAGAAATTAAAAATTAAATATCCGAATTATTTATCAATGAGAGAAATTTTCTTTAAAATCTTTTTACATCAATTTTTATCTCCTAAAATTATAATCATTATACTTTTGTATATATCACAAAACTAATTTAGACTTCATAAAACCGAAATAATTCCACTATTTCCATTTCCAATTCCAAACTAATTAAATTGTCTTGAAATTTCATTTCTTGTTTCATCTTCCAATTTTCTCCAATAACTTTATATCAAAATAACCATTTTTTTCTTGTTTCCAACTTATCCCATTTTCAAATTGAATTAATTTAAAAAATTGAACTTTTATTATTCCCAATTTTTCTAATAATTTTCAACAATTTTATCTTCTTCAATTTTCAAATTTTTCGAACTCGTTTTCTCCGAATAATTTTCATATAATAAAAATTTCCTTCATTTTATATTTCTCTTTTACCAGAAATCTCAATGATCGAGGGTAATGCATTTTTAACTCATCACCACCACCACCACCACGATTTCTCGTACTTATTTCGCTCGAATGATTTCCATTCATGGTCGTTCAACGCGAAGGACAAAGAATTTTCGTTGCGTATCCATAGATCTGTCCCCGTGGAAGATGAGTTTATGTAGCGAGAAACGAGTCCGCGTTATCTCCCGTTACGCCGAGAGCAGCTTCTTCTCTCGAGCGACGTTGCACGTCATTTTATCCACGCCACCTTTCGCGTCTTACCACCTTTTTTTAAATCCGTATAGGATGAGCCAAATATATTTATCACACCTCTTTCAGACGCGAGTTCCTTTTTAGAACAGCTGTTAACCGTTCTCTCGTTCTGATTACACTCGCGATATTTGAGAAATGTGCATCTGGCCTCTGTGTGATATTTTCTAGCTATTTTCTAGGGAGGGGGATATGCGTTTACTCGAGAGTGAAATTTTCGAAATTCGCCCCCTGAATATTTTTCGCGAGTAGGATGGTGCATCCAAGGGAGTGTGTTTTTTCGAGAGTAATTTTTACTTTCGATGTTTACTAACTAAAAAATTGTTATTGAAAGCAACTCTCTCGAGAATTTTTCTCTCAAATGTGCTCGTATCTTTACACTCTTGTTCGTAAATTGCGAAGGATGAAAAAGAAGAAAGAAGGTTTGAATTGAAAATTTATTTATATTTTATATTTCAGAATATTTTATATTTCGTAAAGAGCGAATTAATTAACGCAAATTTCAAACTGGAAATAATTAATTTTTAAATTACGGAATATTATTTTTAATATTCGGAATATTACGTTATAAAAATTGTAAAACAGGTAATTAAATTGTTGTTTCGTTAGTGCATCATTCTCTGAAACGATATTCGGAGAAAGAAGATAGATTCCGAGAGAATGATAGAGTTTTAAAAAAAAATGTTTTGAATTTATGGGAAGCTTTTGTTTCGAGATGCGAAGAAGATTCGAAAGCGATCGATTCGTTTATTTCGTTTTTATCGAGGTATCTGGCCTGCAATTTCGCGCGGTTTGGGCGCAGCCGGTCCGTTTCAATTAACGATAACATCATTTACTCGCTTCACAAAGGGATTTGCAATTTCGCACTGGCCACGAGAGGAGACTAAAGGCGGAAAATCCTAAAAACGTTCACAACATAAGGCCAACCGAATTCATTAAAATAATGAAAGTGGAATAATGGGGGGAAAGCATTTTCATTCCTGAATTTCTCCTCAAAACATTTTGCCCGATGTAAGTTTGCCATTCCAGCAGAATTTAATATTATTCCCTTAATTAATTAAGCAAGAATGATGAACGTTTGTCGTAAGAGGAAAATGAATTCGTAATCTCTGTAAATCCTCTAGCGCGGTGATTCTTTGTCCATTGAATGTTTTTACGCTTAAAAACACGGGTCTATCGGATTCATCGAAGGATGGATCAGTCCATTAGAACCATCCTCTTTCGTCATTTATCTCATCTTTTTTTCTCTTATCTTTGCTTTAACCTCCTCTGATCCTCGAGAACGAAAAGGGAAAGAGATCGAGAAGCGAATAGGAAAAATGGACATGGAAAGATTGAAGAAGAGCCCGCAAAAACTGATTTCAAAGACCAAAAGCAAAAAAAAAAAAAAAAAAAAATAAAAATAAAAAAAAGAAAACGCGGAGAAATAGGAAAGAAATCCTGAAAGAACTCGGAGATAAATCTCGAAAAAAGAAAACTTGAAAAGAAAACTTGCAAAACTAGAATTAAATTATTTATTAAAAAAAAGTTGGATTCTTTCGCATGTATGAAGCACCTAACAAATATCTATTCGAAAAAAAAAGAAAAGCTTTTAGGTATTATTTTTCAATAAAGATTAATCGAATAAAAGTATTTTCAATTTCAAATTGTTTCCATTTAGATACAATCGAATTATAAAGAAAATTTGATTCTCATTTTTAAAATTCTTTTGATCAAATCGTTTATAGAATTGATCGAATATTTTCAAAATAAATAATATTACGTTTTTAAATGAATTAATTGCTCGTAGCTTATTACACCAATCGAGTAACATTGAAATTATACCATCATCGATATGTCGAATCGTGTTCCAAATGGATTGACTAGACCGCTCGTATAATCTAAAAGTATCCAATAAAGCCACTGATTGGCCAATAGTGCGGTGAGTGTTTGCCATTTGCTTGCTGTTCCCGAATTAGTCATTGCAATTCGCGTTACCAGTCTCGCGGTTTCATTATTCGTTCACCTTCTCTCGATTTTCTCACTTCTATTTCGATTTCAAGCCCACTCTTTTTTCATTTTTAAATTTTTTTTCCACTATTTCGCTATTCCTTTAAAAACTGCAGAATTAAAAGAAATAATTTTTTTCTCTCGTTAATTTTTCCATTTCAAAATTTTCATTAATTTTCCATTATTTTATATGCAATGAAGAATAACAATAATGCGATGCACTCGCAAACGTTACCAATTCAATCATTTTTACCCCCAAATATTTATTAATATCTTCTGTCTTTTTCATTATATTTCGTTATATCAAATATCCATCATATATTTCATTTTTCGTCAAATATAATTTCACTCGTTAAGATTACAAAGAGATAACAAATGCGACGCCCCAATGCGAATAAATTATAATTTTTATTTTATTCAAAAGCAAATTCAGAATCCAATTTATTATTATATCTTTTGCTAATTTTCAAAATTATTTCAAAAATTTAATAATTTCTCTCGAAACGTAATTTCCCTGTTCCAATCAAAGCAAAGAGGGGGAGGGAACGCGCTCGTGAATATTTCCGATCCGAAGTCATTCTTATTCGCGTCAGAGGTGAATTCCAATTCAACCAGACGATTTTCCGAGAATATATCTAGTCATGATAAAACTCCTATCAACGCAGGTCGAGGCGTGAATATGATAAAAGAGGAATTGTAATGATCTATGGCGCGAGCTATAGTGAATGGAAACTTTTGATACGAATATCGAGACACGTTATTCGTGGAGATAAAAAGGCGCGAAAAAAAAAAATTTCACTTTCCATGCTTTCGATCTGCTCTCTTCCTTTTTTCCTTTTTTTCACTCAGTTTTTTCACAGAAACTATACACAGGATCGTTTCTCTCCTTTCTCCTGATACATTTTCCAGTTTATTACCGTGTTCGCCTCACGTATTTGTTTCTCTCTTCGTTAACACGGTTATACACGTGGAATATAGTTTCATCGGGGGATTAATCGAACATCAGTTTCGATCAACTTGGAAACAAGTACACTTTTGTTCGAGCTTAAACCCGCGCTAAAAAAAACGAACGCGTCGTTCGAGCGGAGTTCGTTTTTAATCAAAGAATTTAAAAAACCGTTTAGAAACGGAGACGTCATTGCGTGAAATCGTTTTAAACCGATTTCATCGAGTGCCGCACAAAAGGCGACCACTGTCGTACGTTTTAATCGCTTAACACAATAATCCTTCAACGAAGCGCGAATAATTTTTTAATCCTTTTGTATTTTCTCGCTGAAAAATGACGATTTCGAATGGCTTTGCCTTTGTATTAAAATTATAATTATTTCGGTAAAAATAATTATTAATAATTATTAACCATTGGAAATAGATTTCGATCGAAAAAGATGACTTTTATACATTTTATTCATTTCGCAATTTGATCTTTAATATTCCATAATCGATTAATTTAATATCTTGATCTTCTGTTTCAATTATTAAGCGGA